GCCCCGTCGACGCATGTAGTCTTGTAGCATTTGATAGTCCACTTTCAAGTTCACCACGTTCTCTCTGTTTTCAGACAGCATCTGTCAAAACGCGGAATATTAGGCGCCGATATGATAGATATAAGTGCCTCGGGTATGTTTGAGCAGTATGCATGATTTGTGCGCAAAAAGACGTCTTAGGTGCTTTCAGGATGCGGACCTGGGGTCTACTTCCGTTCACCGTCCGAAATAATTACTGCCAAATAAGTAAAACTCGACCAAATCAAAAGACAATGTCAAGTATGAAGCTTCATTCGCATCAAACGTCTTTTAATTTGGCCGAGTATTACATATTTGGCAGTAATAGGACGGACGTCGAACCCCCTGTTCCTTGGAACAGGATTGAACTTGAGGATGGGACATGTCCTATATTGAATGCGTATCCTATGTCTGTGGCGGAAGGTATGAATCGCTACCCATGCGCCACTTTAATAATAATGACGCGCACACTCAATATAGCATTAGGGAAACCCCGTGTAGTGGGTGCCATGGACACACATATAGACAACCACAAATGACACCCAAACTCACGAGATAAATAAATGTAGGCCGTACTAATATTTCTCCCGGCCCGGGAATCGAACCTGGGACCTCTGCGTGGCAGTCGTGGTAACCGTTCGGCCACGGAGGCAGTTGAAGGTACTAATCAGTAAAAGATAAATTTTGCTGTAAATGTTTGCTTTCAGACAGTAATCTGTTGTTAAATTTTTGTGCACTAACTATGCACTAACATAAGTACTCGTAAATTCGGCATAATAAACTCATATGTATTTTTATCACTATTTTAATACGGACTACATGAAACTAATTGTGTATAGGTGATAATTTATAACTCTCCTATTCAAGCCTAATATCGTAGATTTTTAAGCCTGTCCCGAAAAGTTGTGAGTTTGCAGATGTGGCCTTATCACACCAAAGGTGCAAATTCACGTCGCGTCGTAGTATAATATAAGACAAGTATGGGAACTCCATATATACGCAGCAGTGCGACTTATACGGGCCGTGTACAGACCGAAGAGTACCTTATACTAACGAGTATAGAGTTATCAGCTCATAAGATCCCGGGTGGCTAACGCGGGAAATATTTTTTCCCTATACATACACATATCTCCTAATTCATGCTTTACTGGCTTTTTGGGTTCATGTTTTGCAATGCATACGCGTTGCATAGCGCTTGGTCGTCTCACGCGTCTTTCATTTGTGTACGTCCTTATCACGGTTTAATCACTACGTAGTACCACGGTTTAATCACTGTGAACATTTTTGCTTTGCATATCCATGATGATGGACGTCGTTAAGCAATAGATGGCGCTGGCATCTCCTTTTCATTGGCCACATAATTTTTCAGAACTCGATATATATTTCGCAAAAGCAGCGATTTACAGCAAAACATGTGTAAAAAATCATTTACCCGAGCACCCAAAAAAATGAATGAACTTTTAGATAAGTGTATGTACAGGGAAAACATACTTCCCGCGTTAGCCACCAGGGGTGATATCAGCCTGATGAGTCTATCGTTATGACGAATAAGGTACTCTTTGGTATGGAGTTACCACCATATTTGTCATATTAAACCTTAGACTATGGAAACCAAAGACTTAGAGGATGGAAAAAAATATATAAATAAAGGAAAGGAGCTAACCTATCTATGAAATAAACGACGTCGGGTCCGCGCTAAAAAGTCCGCACTTGTAAGGCGCTAAAATCGTATACAGAGCGCGACACTCCGCTTTAGTCTTCATTTGTTCTACTGACAGCGCGATACTGCGATGACATTACAATTTAAATTTCGAATAGGTTGACTTGGGACATTTTTTTCGTGGTTTTTGTATTAGACCCGTCGTCCATTTATTTGTAAGTCAATGTCTCTACCTAAACCAAAAATGCCCACCACAAATGGCGGATTTCTTTAGTGTTTCGATTTCGACTTCCAATGTTTAGATTGCATAAAGTAAACTCATCTTTCATGGGAAACTGTGTGCGCTTTTATAATAAAATACCAGATGTAGTAAAACAGATGTCAGAGAACAAATTTAAAAACTATATTAAAAACGCTCTGTTGAATAAAAGCTACTATAGTGTTAGTGATTATATTCAGGATAAAGATGCATGGAATTCATCTCCAGTTGACACGTGATATTTAACACTTATATTATTATAGCAGTAACAGTGTCCAAATGAAAAATTATTTGAAGTAATTTTTTATATAATAATTTTTATTTATTTTTTTAACACAAAAACAATGAGTATTGTATCAATTTGACGATTTCAAGTGTAATTGTTTACCTATGAAATAAAGATATTTTGAGTTGAGTTGAGTTGAGTTGTTGTCCCATAATCATCGATAAGTCAATATCGACATGAAAATATATGGCTTGAATGTTGAGACTGTTTTTTTTTTTGTTATGTTTGTGACTTGTATAGTTTACTGTAATCAAAGTATGATTAAAATGTTTAATCAAAGTAGATCAATATTCATTGTCATATGGGAATATTCGGGATGATAGATATGAGATTTTGAATTTGTTGTCTGCATATTCTGTACTTCAATTAACATTCTAGAAGTATTTGGCTGTACTGTTGGCTGTAGAGTAAACAAATATTCTTGCAATACATGTTGGTCGAGCCTAGGCCAACGCGAGCGCAGCAAATTGGTATGCAGCTAGTGCTGCTGTCTACACGCTCGACAAGTTTGAAAAAGAGCAGTACAAAAAGCCATTGTAGATGAGTTTTGTGTATCTGCTCACACGTTGGTCGCTGTCAGTTATCATTTACATTGAAACTATATGGATGACGTACAAGTTATTGCAGCTGCTGCTATTTATTCAGTGCATCTAATACATGTTATGTAATGTTAGAGTTGTCAGTGGAGAAAAATCGGAAACGAGTGGATGGTTTTAAGGAACTGAGAATGCCTAGCAATGTCTCTCGTTGACTCAAAATTAAATATAAAATTATTTACCAATAAATAGAAAAAAGACGATGGAATTGCATCATCATATAATGTATTTAAATTCAAAGTTCTATTAAAATTTGCCTCTTCAAAATGGAGCGAACAAACGAAGGTGATATTTGATCCAATGTTTACGTTCAGCAATCCTATAATTTTAAAACCATTCTTTCTTACTTTTTTCATTTGTAGGTAAACTTTAAAAAAAAAAATAATGAAAAATAAAAACCTCGTAGTGAATTGTTTTAATAACGGAATATCGATAATATGTCTGCTTACAAGAACAACACTATCTCAAAATTATCAACATCTTTTCAACAATCTTCAAAATATACTAACAAACAGGCAATCTAAAGTAACCAAAGCAAAATTCGGCAAGACTTATGAATAAACTACTTAAATGAGTCTAATTACATGAGATATTTCGGCTATTGTATGATTTATAGACAAAAAATTAACACGTGCCGGTGAATGTAACATTCGGTTGATTTCCGCCTTTTCTACTGCAGCACCACTTAATGCCGCCGCGACGCATTTTAATCAACACTTAATTGTTCTCCCTGTCAATATTTTTGTCCAAATTTATTACAATTCAAACGAATGATTCAATAAAACATTTGGCCAAACATTGGTTTTTGACATCTCATGTGGAAAGGACATGAGATGCCAAAACCAATGTTTGTCAAAATCAATGTAGTGCTATCTCTTTTGGCTTACGACGGAACGCAGTAGTTAAACAAAGACAATAAAATGTTTATGTTTTCAACGTCTAAATGCATCCGTACATATAACGTCTGATTTATACATATATGTCAATATAACACGTCCTTTGGTTTCCATAGTCTAAGACCAATTGATTTATGTCAAACACGGGAATCGAAAATACGTAACGTCATCTTAAATGCCAACTGTCCTCATTTTACCATTTTTGTAAGTACCCTTTGACATCCGTACCCGGTTGTCAAGGGGAAGTACATCAAATGTCAAAACCAATGTTTGGCCAAATATTTTAGTAAATTATTCGCATGAATCGTAATGAAATAGACAAAAATATTGACAGTGAGAACAATAAAGTATTGATAAAAATGCGTCGCTGCAGCATTAAGATGTGCAGCAGTAGGAAAAGCGGAAATCAACCTAATGTTACATTACACGGTATGTGTTATTTTTCTGCCTATAAATCATACAATAACCGAAATATCTCATGTAATTAGACTCATTTAGTCAAGTCTTACCGAGTTTTGCTTTGGTTACTTTAGATTGCCTGTTTGTTAGTATATTTTGATGATTGTTGATAACGATTATTTTGAAATAGTGTTGTTCTTGTAAGCAGACATATTATCGATATTCGGTTATTGAAATTCACTACGAGGTTTTTATTGTTTCATCATTATTATTTTTAAAGTTTACCTACAAATTAAAAAAGAAAGAAAAAATGGTGGGAAATTATAGGACTGCCGAGCATAAACATTGGATCAAATACCATCTTCGTTTGTTCGCTCCATTTTGAAGAGTAAAATTTTAATAGAACTTTGAATGTAACTAGTTTACATGATAACGCAATTCCATCGTTACATTTATTGGTATATAACTTTATATTTAATTTTGATTAAAATGACTCATTACTTGCCTAGTAATAATAGCCTAGTATTAATTATACTTTGATTACAGTAAACTACACAAATTTGCAAACATACACACACACAGTAACAACAGTTTCAACATTCAAGCCATACATTTGCATGTCGATATTGACTTATCTATGATTATGGTACAACACTAAATCCGCCATTTGTGGTGGACATATTTGGTTTAGGTAGGGACGTTTATTACGTAGATGAGGCAGCTCCTTTCCTTTATTTTTTTCCATTCTCTAAGTATTAAACAAGTCGTTAGTGTGTTTCTATATACGACAGTACAAAAATCATTTCGGACACGTAATTCGAGCCACTTTGCATTTTCAGTAATAAATGCCCTAAGCTTAAACAATGTTTGACTGATCAAAAAGTGTTACGCTATTTTGAAACTGCTATACTAACCGTCATTTCCATGAATTTAAAATTTGAATTTGTAAAACCGGAAAAAGCTTTTTCTTAATTGATAACAATTTTTATATTCTAGACGTTTAAAAATAAAAATGCGAGGTGATTCGAATTATGTGTACTAGAGTGTATATAGAGGCGCTGACTTTTTCCGCTATTTGACAAGGGGTCCCTTAGTATAACTTGCTTATATTGAGTACTACGGCAAAGTATTGTCACTTTGTATATGAGATCAACATTAAATACGTACAGTGTAACCGCCACCCCCATCGCCAATAAAGTTCGATGTGACAACGGTATAAGTAGCATTTTCGTCAAGAGGCAGGTACCGTGGCACATCGCAGTCTATGCAACGGACTGTAGCTGTGACGCGGGAATTTGATGGCTGTGTCACGTTATAAATGTTGCGCATGCCTGTAGGCAAGTAATTCATAAAATAAATGTAGGTACTCTTCGAGTTGTTAAGCTTTCACTATTGGAATCTTTTTTTCGGATCTCAATCGGTTATATTTGTTTTTCAAATGAACCAACGTTTCGGGCCCATTACAGGGTCTGTGTGGCATTGTGGCTCTGCGTGGCACTGCAACTATTATGGATAGGCGTGTCGCTTAGCACCAGGCGCACTACTTGTTGGTTCCACTTGATTTTATTAAAAAAAAAGTATTTTTGATAGCTTACCTCCAATTTGCAACATTTGTCCACTGTTGAATTGATCAGGCGAACTACCCACGTTGCCACCAACTGAGAACTCGAGTGCTTCTAGAAGATACTTGCCCTTCAGTTCGTATATTTGCATGTAGTCCTCGAATGGAATTGTTCGGAGTAAGTCTTCGGTTGTTATGTCTGCCAAAATATTAAATTCGTAAAAAGGTGGAACCTGAAAAGCAGCATGTATTGTTGAGGTTTCATCCTTTTTGGCGCTAGATTCGACTACGTTTCCGAAACGAATAAAAAAATAATAATAATAAGGTGGAAGGCCGTCCTGGTCTATACAGCACGTATTATTCGCTGGTTCTTGAACCTGAGTCCCTGATCCCGGCCGACTGCGCCGTTGCCGGGGAATACCGCTTCTTCAATTCAAAATTGAAATGGGAGGTGCACCTTTATTATACTACGGGTACACTCACTGCCAGGTTCGATGTGCGCTCGCAAGCCGCCCGCGTACATCATACACACATGAGCGTTGTGCCATCGTGGCGCTTGTCTCGGCTCCATCAACATAACCTGTGAATGAACACTAGTATTGAATTTAAAATACTTTTCATCTCACTTGCACGTAAATAGTATGATTGCGTGCTGGCTAACTTGACTATAAAGCATGCAGGCTACCTTGAGAAGAAAAAACCCGAGGGATTTTTGGGAGGAGATTTATGTGGGACATTAGCAAGTGCGATGAAAATCATTGTAGGTATGTTTCACGGGCGGTACGGGAACTACGAACCTCTACTCCGAAAGCCCTCAGTCTTCGCCTTCGGGCTTCTAACAGTCCCGTTCGTAATTGCTTATTTAACGCCCTTACTACGCAATGTACTACAAGCAGAGAGTTCTTAAGTAATTTAATGCACGCTGTAAGTGTACGTTTGAGAGTTTCATCACCTCCAGGGGCTTCGAATTAAGGAGAGTAAGTAGTAAGTCAAATATTATTAATTTATCACTAAAACCTTCTAATGGAAACCTGTATGGTAAAAATATTTAAATTTTTTTGATTTTCGAAAAATTATTAATATAAAGATCGAACACAATGAAAAATTCCTTCGATCTAACAGGACTCGAACCAGAGTGCGAAGTTTCATAGATCTCTCACAGATGTCGCTTACGGCGATAAAAACCGAAAAAACACAACACAAAAAATGTGTAACAAAGACTTAAAGAAATTTATAAGCTCGGCTGACTCGATCTGTAGCTCTGTTGGTAGAGCTGTGGTCACTGTTTGGCAAAGGTTCGAGTACTGTCCAATCGAAGGAATTTTTCTCTGTGTTTGATTTTTGTATTAATAATTATAACAAACTAGTGGAGCGATTTCACAAAAATAAACATCACGATAATAAAACTTCATATTCAATAAAAATCTAAATTTTTTATGACAATTTTGCAATCCGGAAAAATATTTATGTTTAAGCGCATAAGTACACAAAAGACTAAAAACATAGCACAATAAGACGTAGTGTAATTCCATACAAATGTAGCAGCGCGACTTGTGCACACCAGCTGCGCGCGAATACGGACCAAGTTTGCTGCTGATGTAGGTTTTTACACATCAGCGGATGCTTATTTTATATATTAAAAGGAACCGCGAAAAATATACATCCTCACTGAATCTATTTACATGAAAAAGCTTTTTATTTTTAACTGACTTCAAAAAAAGAAGGCCGTAGTTATGGAGGCAATTCGACTGTATTTTTTTTTGTATGTATGTTACGCGAAAACTGTGTTACGCGGCATTTGTGAGCCGATTTTGATGATTCTTTTTTGTCGGAAAGGTTGTACCTCAGAGTGGTCTCATTCAAATTTCAAATTTTATTCAAATTTGAAGAAAATATTCCACCTCTAAGGACGAAATATGAGTCCTGTTTTGCGCACTTTCCGGTAACCGATTTCAATAAAACTTGGCAATTTAGATGTATTTCCACGAACGTTTGAGGTCGGTTTTTTTAGTACTCTGTACTGAGATTATTTGGTATTATAATAAAATATTATTTCAATGATTTTGTGACATTCATTACAATATAGCTAGCTAGCTTAATCGTTGTGGAGTTTTATCAAAGTTATATTCTGAAAAGAACAGTTGAGCTGACGGAAATCCAAATAGTGGCTGTTTTTTCGGCTAACAGTCTGTTTCTGGAAGATTTGTAAATTATTCCAGCATGAATATCAGCATCGATGAATGTGATATTCGCAACAACCCTGGTACGGACGCACACATTCTCATAATCTCGCGGTGCACTCGAGTTGTACAACACGGGTCGTAGCTCGCGGCATTCATTATAGAATGGTAGCTCGTTGGCTCGGTCTTTAAAAAATGACTTTAAAATAGTGGACGTGTTTATTGTTTTTTGAACAAGAGTGCCATAAATTGAGAGTTATTTACCACCCCGCAATGCTGGTATAAAGTATCAATAGTTCTGCATTTGACAATGGTTATTTCAATATAACACAAGAATAATGTGATGAACACCTTTGTTTTTCAAATTATACATTTACAACATGTAGGTAGGTAATTTTTAGATTAGTTTTCTCTACCTAATTTAGGTGGTAATTTTTATTACTTTCAAATTATCTACGATATTATCATGTAATATTACTAAATATTTGAGTGAGTATCCTGAAATATTAATATGATATGAATATTATTCAATAATTCACGATAATATCTCGTATGTTTAAATAATAAAAATTGCCACCGAAATTAGGTAAACTAAACGGAAAATTACCCAGGTAGATTACCCAGTTCGTATATTGACGTGCCGAACAGGTGGGAGTTGCACTACTTTTTCGTTTTTTGCACTAGTCGTCTTAGGGGGTCACCAAACTTATTAACGCGGAATCGTCTTGATGCGATCGTGTTTAACCACCCTGTCGCAAGCCGATTCGCCGTTGACGCGGCCGTTCACGCGCCGTCACGCACCAGTTGTTTCTTCTAAACAGCATCAGTCGTCGTCGGCGTGCGTTCGGACGCGATCAGAAATTCGCACGAAGCAGGGGTCTACTTTCGTTCTCCGTCCGAAACAATTACTGTCAAATAAAAAATATGTAGCGGGCTGTATCAATGGGTTCGGGTGGGTGCTAATCAGTGTTGGGCAAAATTTAATTGTTATGGCAATTAAAGATTGACAATTAATTAATTGTCATTTGCGAAATAGCAATAAACGGTTGATCAATTGTTAGTTGCGAAAACCGCAATTAACAATTAATAATTAAAAATATTAAAATAGGGTGGGTTAGAAGGTGGGTTAGGAGTGGGTTAGGGCTGAGTTAGGGCGTGGTTTAGGGGGTGGGTTAGGATTTGGGTTGGGGGGGTTATGATATATATATATATATAGGATATAGGTAGGTGGGTCAGCGGGTGAGTGGGTGGGTGAGTAGGTGGGTGAGTGGGTGTGTGGGTGTGTTGGGTTAGGGGGTGGGTCACTCACATCTGGGCGCCCCTGCCCCCCCACCCCCCCCCCCAAATGGCCCCCAACCGGCCCCCCAACCGACCCCCCATCCGTCACCCCAACCGACACCCCAGCCGACACCCCAGCCGGCCCTCTAGCCGGCCCCCAGCCGGCCGCCCAGCCGGCCGCCCAGCCGGCCGCCCAGCCCGCCCCCCAGCCGGCCCCCCCACCGGACCCCTAACCGGCCCCCCCACCGGCCCCCTAAACGGCACCCATCCGGCCCCCCATCCGGCCCCCCAACCGGATCCCCCACCAAAGCAAACGTACTTACAGCTTATTAATTTATTAGAAAATACATATCTGTCTAAGCAAAACAGCAAAACAAAAGTCAAGAACAGGCGCCAAAAACAATCACATTTAAATTTAGAATTTAAATACCTATAAAACTAAAACTTAAAGATACTATAAAATATATACAAAAGATATTTGTAGCGACTGCTTTTTTTTTATAATGCACACACGCAACATAGCCTTCCCATCTTACGTTCTCTGAACGGCTTAATGCGATTCTGCGTTAATAAGTGTGTTGACTCCCTTGTTATACTACGGTAAAAAGTACTTTTCTATATACCTCTTCCAAAAATCCATCGCAAGCCCAGCTGCCAATGTTACACTCGCCGCGATTGCATGAGTCGCGGTTCAGAGCAACGAGAGACGAGCCTAGCACTTCTCTGCCTATAGCGTCTATCTCGTGTCGCCAAGGCTCGAGTAACTCCATGATATAAGGATCTAATAAATAAAAATTTATTGAAGTGGATCAACAAGTTTAGGGCCTTAAATGAAGAAAGATTTCATTTTAGTTTAGACTTTATAGCTCCTTATTTTAGTTGTGGTGCAAATATAACTACAGTCTAAACATATGGAGTAGCTTACAGCAGCTGAGTAATTTGATAATTCGGGAGTAAAATAACATGTCCTATCATTTTCTTACTTATAACCAAAGGTCGGAATAAAATACTCTATATTTAAGTTCAAGTAATACATATACAGAGTTGATAAAACCTCCCTTTGAAAACATTTAAAGTTAAATAAAATGAGACAAATAAAAAGGAAAAGAAAAAATATTGGGACTAAAACTATTTCTTCCGATCTAAATCACGTATATTTGTTTTTTTCAAATAAACCAACGTTTTGAGCTCTTTACAAGTCCCATAGTCGCGACTAGTTCATTAAGTAGTCTGTGGTACTAGATTAGTAGACTGACTGAGATAGTAAAGTCCAACAGTTATGTCTGTGGTGGCGTAGTAGTGTACTAGATTAGTAGACTGACTGAGATAGTAAAGTCCAACAGTTATGTCTCTGATTAATGCAAACCACAAAAATAGTTATATTTTTGTTTACAATTGCAAAGCTTTTTTATAAATACACCACCATAGTAATATCTAATTACATTAAAAAAAATATAGAATAAAAAACCAACAAAACTTTCGTGATTTCAGAGGTAGGTATTACGCACTCTATATGTATTACTGTCTTCAAGTTTGCTTCAAGTTAAGTAAATGAATGCTTATATAATTAGTTTGTTTACCGCCAAATCAACGTAATTAACTACCAATTGTCGGAATAGGTCTTCCAGAGTAGATAAATCTTTACATATAGATGCTAGGAGTGGCATAGAGGTGTGAAAACTAACTAAAGATCTTTGCGATTTAAAGCATTGAGTGACACTGCAACTGTCATGGTCAGGCCAGTAGCTTACCATCAGGCGCACGATTCCGTCCGTCCCGTCAGTTGATATTATATTTTAAAAAAGTCAGGGCTGGGAGTAGTTTGCATTCCATGAATATAAAAGTATCTACAATATCCGCATTAGTTAACTTAAGCTGGTACTTGTAGCTCATTAAAAAAAATTACTTTGGTGAAAGGTTAGTTATCTACTGAATTTATTTACGCTATGGCACCACTACAAATACCTACTTTAAAATCCAACTTCAGCTTTCTAGGCGAATAGTTTTATCATCCTATGATGTATTAGTACTATTTTAGGAAATCTGTAATTCCAAAAAAGAATTAACTAATATTTGGTGGTTATAATTATTAACATAAATATCAAAGAAACTTAGAAAAAATTCCTTCGATCCGGCCGGATTCGAACCGACGTCTTTGAGCAAACCGTGTCAGACGCTATGCCAAATAAGCCACGCAACGAACCAGCGGACCTCACGAATTTTTTTATATGCTTGTTGTTCGGATCTTTGTATCTGGTTTTGAAAGATGTTTTGCATGCATGGGTACAACAAAGTAGTGGAGTAATTTCACAAAAAATAATTGAATATCATGGTGGTGAAACATTCTGACATTCAATAAAATACTTAATCTTTTATGGTTTTAAACACTCCATGTTACTTCTTGTACCTATAATAAAATCGTCGGTGTTATTTAGAAAAAGCAAGCGCCACTTTGAAAAATTTTTCAGGGGAACATGGTATAGTTTTTCATGACTGTCTTAGAATATTTACTTCCTGTTTTAAATTCAATTTTAAAACTTAAACTTAATTAAAACAAAATTGAATTTTAAAACAGGAGGTAAAATATTTTAAAACAGTCGTTAAAACCTAGCGTCTCTAAAAAACGTTTCGTCCTTTCTACTAAACAGAGACGATAGGTAGATATTTATCTACTCACTTGGAACAGTCATCATTACCTTGCACAATAGAGGATCCCAGATACACAGGTTGTCCCTCCCAACTTTCGATAATACCAGCTTCATTAATGTACAACTTAATAATGCCCAAGTAGCGCGTGTAGCACGACGCTTGCACTATAGGGATCTAAACAAAATACGAATTAATTGTATATCTTATTGTAAGGACATTAAAAGTATTTATTTGGATTCGTTCGGAAATATAGCACCGTCATCCATGCATGTGTTGAAGATTCATTATTTCGTAACCAATGACATTAACGTACGTAAAGGACCGTTTACACAGGGCCAATCGACGAGCCATTGCATTAAGGTAAGCCATTATTAGCGTCGTGTAAATAGAGACAATCCATTATGGAGTGTCTCCAGACCAGTGATAAAGCAATCCACTAAATTAGAACGATTCCCCCAACGCACGTGCATTGAATTGGCTCATTTAATGGCTTTGTGTGAACGTGCACCCTGACCCAATCCACTATTATAGTTTGCCTTGCCGTTTAGTAAAGAATCTTGGAGAAACTTATTGCAATGCTAGCTGTAGTGTAGATGGACGTTGCGAACTTCGCAGAAGTACTTGACTTATCTCACTAGAAATATGGCCCTTTTGAGCCTTCCTTTTCGCCTTGTTTAAATTTTCTTCTGCCTTATTATACAATAAATTTATGTGGACCGAATCGTCTATTCTATTACACGTGACAGCTTTATGAAATGGCTCGTCAATTGGCCCCAAATGAATGGGTCACCTTTTGTAACTGAAAGACAGACAGGTAAGCAACAATTTACCGCCCTATAAAGTGCTACGACCGGCGTATTTCGCTAATCTTACTTCATAGCACCAAATCAATACGTAAGCTTGGTATAATAAAGCCACATATTATCATTAAAGTCATAAAAATTATGAACTACGTGAATTAAATTATGCATACGTGAAATTTTATAACTCTCCTATAGTACCGGCACGCTATGACGACCGTTTTGACGTTTGTCCGCTCATCAAGTTTTGTATTAATTCATAACTATGTTGTTTATTTTTTCCCATCCTCTAAGCTATGTTGAAGAACCTAATTGATGTACCTACAATGTTGTCAATAGTAACGTGCTGTAAAGTTTATGGGATGTATATAATTTTACGACATAAGGGACTATCACACATATACGGGACGTGGACGGGCTGTGCTCCGTCAGGGACTTAAAAAAATATCGTTGCGTCTATTTTGTATGAACTCGTTCACACATGTCCGTGTCCGGGCCGACACTGGAACGGGCCCGCAGTTCATATAAACTAGCACGCTCCGTCCACGTCCCAGGCACGGCCCTGATGTGTGTGGATAGTCCTTTGCTCGGCATTTATAAAAATGAAATCTAATACGATCGTCACTAATGGGGTCGCTGTCCAGCATAACTTCTACCTCCGGCAACTCGCGTCAAAGCTCAATGCAAAACTAAGCAATTTTTTAATTGACTGGGTCAATGTTGATGATATATTAAGTAAACATTTTTATTTTCGTTTTATTGAAACTTTATAATCAGCTACCCCTTGCAATACTAGTTACAAATCATATGCGACTTGCATTTGATTATTTTTTTTCGATAATGAATTGAGATTTGACCTCACTATCTGTCAAAACGGCCATCATAGCGTGGTGCCGGTACAAGTTCCCGACTAATATCTTTCGTAGAAGTATTTACTTGCAAGTATAACGTGTAGCAGAACTGGGCGGAATTATGAACATACGGCACTCGGATAGTAATGCGTTTTTTATCTTATTTCTACTCAACCACCGCCCGCTCAAACCGCAGGAGCCTCAATCAAAGTAGACATCGCGCCAAATTTATGCGCCGCAACCAAATCGCAGTGGACTTTTTGATTTAATGCATAAAAACTAACACATATATACAGTCGGCTTTATTTCATTTATAGTTTTTGTAATATAAGTACATAGTCATAAATACCACGACATACATTAATTTAAAAGATTTTACGTTTTATTCGTACGTAAAGCCGAGGCAAAAGATTTAATGCTCAAAAAATTTTAATTTTAATATAAGAATTATTTTTAAAATACTTAAAAGTTCGTAAATAGTATACGAATAAACGTTATTAAGTCTAAATTTTCATTTTTTGCAACTTCCTCGTTAGTGTGATAGAAAAATAAAATTGTATGTCACACGGGGCGGGACAGCAATTACGAACGTTCGGGCCGTTACAGCGCTCGCCTTGTAATTTTGCAGATGTGGCTTTATACACCAAGAGTACGAATTTATTGGATGTTATGGGTGCAGGACATTAGCGCTTGCGATGTAACCACAATCATTCAAACGGATACATGGAGCTGACACTTACGCTGCAGAAAACTCAGCAAGGGACCAGCATAACTTTCAATAGGTAAGTAGATAACTTATGTTTCATTAAATGGGACACGCATTTGTAAATAAGTCATAATGAACTCTATACTTGTTGCCTACAAAAATAGAAAAAAACGCAATCCAAGGTTATCTGGAAAACATAAGAAATCTAACGAACTTGAGGCGCGAAATGTCGCCTCTTGTAGGTATACGACGTAATTTTAGTAGCAGTAGAGCTCCTTGTGAAAGAATTCGTCCAGGGAAGTACTGCCACCTTACCTATTTCTGCCGCCAAGCAATAATGTGAGCATTACTGAATTCACCGTGAAGGGTTAAGGGTGCTGGTGAAATTATAGGCACATGGGACTTGTTAACTTACGTCTCAGGATGCCGGGCGCAGTGGAAGTGATCCTCAGATCTTTGGGATTTAAAGCTCTGAGTAGCACTGCAACTGTTACGGGCAGGCGTGTAGCTTACCATCAGGCGCACGATTTGTTCGTCCCGTTCTGTGATATTATAAAAAAAGCTATATAATTTAGCGCAAAACACTCATAGCCTCGCATTATGGAAACCCTGTATCGCGGGTGCCATGGTGACACACATAGACAACCACAAACAAAGGCCATGCAAATATTTCTCTCGGCCCGGGAATTCTGCGAACTTCTGTGTGACAAACCAGCAATGGTAACAGTTCGGTCACAGAGGCAGTTGTTACTGCCTCGCGTATGCCAATAACTTTTAGCATTTTTGAACATTGGAAGCGAGGACCTTCCCTGCAAAGTACCGGCGCATGTATCTACTTTCAGTATAACAATAAACAAGATATCTACCCGGTGTAAGTGTCTTAGGCGGTTAGTGAATTTATATTTGTCCGGCGTAAACGTCCTGCGCCCGAATATTAAACTTTACATCCCTTTCAAGTACAGTTGAAATCATTATTAAGTACTTACTCTATGTCCGTCGTCTCTCGTAACAACGGTAGGGTATTCGCCCAATGGAATATTACCGTCAGGAGCCTCACCGGTGTATAACAAGGTGTGGGAATGCGCTCCAACTATGATATCGACATCGCGGGAAACACTCTGCGCTAAACGCCTAGAATACAAATTTGACATACATTACGTAAGATGTATTGCAATACAATACATGTAAGCAAATGCCTAATCCCGCACTAACCCGCTTCATCAGATCCTACAGCCAATAGCCAACAGGTGCAATTTTGTTGCTATTTGGGAAAGCATTGATTGGATCGAGGTGGACCGGATGCACAGCACGTCTCCGAGCAAACTAGCCCAGGTTATAATAAATATTGAAAAATATAAAACTGACGTATGTTTTCCACTTAAAATAATTAATTTGAAAAAGGAAGATTCTTGGGTAAATGAAAAGATTATTAATTTAAATGCGTTATTATTTTGTCATGCGAGCAATTATGTGTAAATTATGTGCGAGGTAATACTACACATCAATACGACCCACTTGTACTGAACCTCTCTGAAACTGAAAGAATACTATTGAATAAAATTCATGCTATTGCTATTGCAAGTAGCAGTAGAGCTCCTTGTGAAAGAGTTTGTCCAGGAAAGTGCTGCCACCTTACCTATTTCTGCCGACAAGCAGTATATTAGCATTACTGTGGTCCGGTTTTATAGAGTAAGGGTACTGGTAAAATTACAGGCACAGCTTTCCGCAATTTTCACGGTTTATTCAGTGTTTTTACATGGGTTGATGTGATCTGTCCCAAATTTTTCTACACAAGTTTTACATCAACCTCTTGTTTATGCGGGAAGGGCACTATGACCTGCGCGAGCGAACCCCCACAGGGACCATCTAAGTCAGGTCCTAACCCCGGATCAGCCCGTTTGCACTTCATCTGGTGCCTTAAGGTGCCTACAGATACGATCGACATTGACGATCGGTCGATCGACAATGTCGATTAGGAGCCTACATACCTACTCGACATTGTCGATCGAGATCGAGAGTCTTCCGAGAGAGAGAGAATCCTTATGGAAATGGCGTTTATAACTGAATACATGATGGCTGACACGACATTTCGCATTTCTAAATGCAAGATGGCAGTCACGATTTCTCAAATAATGTCAAGTTAGGTATCGTTTTCGAGATATTTGGGGGTGCTCATTACGAATATAGTACTTATTTGTAAATCCAAGATGGCGGACACAATTTTTCGGAAAATGTAATATGGGTGTCATTTTCGAGGTATTTGGGGGTGCTCGTTACGAATATACCCAACTTGCCATTTGTCGAAAAATCGTGCTCGCCGTCTGGATTTAGAAATGATTGCCATATTCATAATGAGCATCCCCAGATATCTCGAAAACGATACCTAACTTGCCATTATTTGAGAAATCGTGCTCGCCATCTTGGATTTAGAAATGAGTGCCATATTCGAATTGAGAATCCCCAAATACCTCGAAAAGGATACCCATATTGAATTTAAAAAAAATCGTGTCCGCCATCTTGGATTTACAAATAAGTGCTATATTCGTAATAAGCATCCCCAAATACCTCGAAAAGGATACCCATATTGAATTTTTTTGATAAATCGTGTCCGCCATCTTAGATTTACTAATAAGTGTTATATTCGTAATGAGCCCCAAATATCTCGACAACGATACCCAACTTGCCATTATTTGAGAAATCGTGCCAGCCATTTTGCATTTAGAAATGCGAAAAGTCATGTCAGCCATCATGTATTCAGATATAAATGCCATTTCCAGAAGGATTACTAATAATAAATTTTTGAAAATTCTTGGCAACCATCTTGGATTTAGAAATTAATGCCACATTCTCAAGAAACACTCCCAAACAACTCGAAAACGTCTATAATTCTCGTTGTCGAACGATGGACAATGTCGATTATGTCTATAGGTTCCTAATCTACATGGTCGATCGACAATGACAATCGACAGTGACGATCGACAATGTCGATCGTATCTGTAGGCACCTTTACGTGAGTCGATTCGTGTGCACGTACAGCACCCTCCCAATTTTCCAGATAATATTTTTTTTATAATTAATTTAATATAATTAATTTTCCCAATTTTCTAGTCGCGCTCCGCATGACTGGCGGTTGCCACCGCTGAGCCGCCAACTCTAAGTCGACTACCAAATCTCCGCAATGGTGGCGGAGCTGTAAGACACGGTCACTTCCCGATACCAAATGAACGGCGTCTCTCCAGTTCCCAAATTCCTATGCGGCCGGAGGGATCGGAAGATGTCTAGCCACGTTAATTTGATCAGTAAATATCGAGCTAGCTAGTTAGTAAATGAACGTCATAAACGGAATTCTTATAAGGGAGTTACCACATTTGTGAACGGCTTGAGCCGGTCGGAAAAGCATACGTGACTTTATTATTCCAAAATATACACATATACATATTACTCACATATCGCTTGTGTAGCCAACATGTGAAAGCAGAATAATGATATCAACACCTTGCTCCGTGAGGATAGCAGCTTCTCGGTTGATAGCTTCTAGTTCATCCTCCATTATTACCCTGCCGATTGGTGCTGAGAACTGGAAACGAGAAAAATATAGAGATGAGGGAAATCGTTACACATATCCAAAAATATAATGTAAAATCAGTCAATCAGTCTCGGCGGTGACATTAGCTGAGTGGATCCTTTTACATACGCCACAGCCGCACACATGACATGTACTTAGTACACAATAGTGTTTAATATTTTTTGCTTTGTGGTCATTTCATTCACCTATTACTAAGATTTTATTTTTATTTCATTTTATCTTATTTTTTTATTTTTCTATTTTATTTTTGTTTTAATTTATCTTTTCTTTTTTTAATTTCTTACTGTGCATTTTTGTGTTGTGGCGTTTTGTAATAAAAGGTTTCTATTCTATTCTATACATTGCGGACTCACCACAACGAAAATAGCACGACTTTTTTGCTCATAATGAATGAATGTGTTGCCCTTGTGTTGGATGTCTTAACCTTGGTGTTATATGCCTGTCAGTGTGCA